CAGCAAACCTGTTTTTGATCAGCAGCAGTTATCTTTTCTATTAATTCCACGAGAGCCAATTTTATTTGTTCTAAACCGACTGCTACTTAAAATAATCTGTTTATCTATAAATTGATCCAACCTAGTTACAAATAATTTCTCTGAAATTTTCAAAAACTGTGGCAACCAGGATATTGGTCTGTAATTTCAGAACACACATTTCTCACCATTCTTATAACAAGGAAGTGGTTATGAGGTGTTTGTGCCGATACGCTGAATGCTCTGGAGCAGGAAATTGATTAAACTACTTTTTTATAGATGTGCTCACACTGATGATGATCAGTTAATAARCACATCTGCTCAGCAGTCCCAGATGCTGCTACTGTTAMGGGCCCAGAAGCCACAGTATCTGCTCTCATTATTGCAGACAAAAACTGTTCACAGAGCAGCTTCACCTGTCCCCACTCAACACAAGGCCAAAATCTCTCTCACAGGTGAATGTGCCAATTATTTTATGACTGGTCAGAAGTTTGTGGGTGTTTATGTACAGATCTCAGAAAGCAGTGGTGTCGTTTTGCTTTAACTAGCTCTTCCAGAAGCCGACTGTTGTTGTTCGAACAACATMGATTCTGAGTAGTTTTCAGAGGCAGTCAGAAAGTATGTCCATCTATACGACTCCTCCAGACACCAATAAAGACAGTCAGACGGCCAAAAAACCCCATGGTGGAAATAAAACAGAGAATGTGCATGGAGGAATTATCCATCTGTTGAATAGTGCGATACTTTAACTGTGACAGATCTGTGGCCAAACGGTGGATATCTGAGTGAAGACTAGAGCATAAAGAAAGGGTTACAGCTGGAGGGGTTTCCCCAGGAGCTCTGCGTCGTGTGTCTAATGAACTATGAAGGTTGAAAAACAAACCTCTTGCAACCACATGAACACAAGTCAACTGCTGGGCTTCAGATAGTGTCTGCTGGGTGCTTTTACTAGGTGGGCCTCATTTTTGTTTATTAGGTAAATAAATGCTGGAATCTGTTGTGTGTTAAGATGAAGTAAAATTAGTCATYTGTAGTGCTAGGCAAAGATTCAAAATTTTAATTGCAGTTAAGATATTTTTACGATTAATTGCAAAAATTACTAGGGATGCACAATATATTGGTATTGATATCGATATCGGCCGATATTGGTCATTTTTTAGAATATCGGTATCGGTCCGATATGTAAAACTGGGCCGATATTAATTTTCCACTTTTTATCTTTGTGTTTCTGTTTTAGGAGGGGAAATGTTTTGTTGAGCAGCATCTGTTTGATCATGATAGTGATATTGATGCTGCGCAGCCAGGAATAACTCTAGTAGAGCCATGTCAGAGGTCTGGTTGTTTCTTTTTACGGTATCAAAAAAAGACCCAAGTGTGTTTGTGCGTATATGTATAATACAATGTGTGTGTTTGTGTAATATTTGTAAATATTGGTTATCGGCCATAACACCAATAATTATATTGGATATTGATATCGGCTGAAATTTTCATATCCCTAAAAATTACTCTACTATGGCTGAAGGGTAACATTTGATGTTTAATTACACTCCATGTATGACACACCATTTACGTTTCTCCTTTTGTGTTTTTCTTTTTATCTTCTTATTGCTTATGTTTTATTGTTTAATGTAGCTTTTTTATTCCATTTCTGATAACTGGTCCTGACAGATGACTTGGTGTAGCATCTGCAGTATTGTGGATTCTGTACCGGTCTGTTGTGGTGAAGAGGAGCTGAGCTGTTATGATAACGGGCGTGGTTTAATTTTATTCTCACAAATACTGCGATGGGTTGTTTAACTGACTTTGCGATGCATGGCGTGCTCTTCACCCTGACAACAAAGAATATACACTCACCGGCCACTTTATTAGGTACACCTGTCCAAGTGCTCGTTAACACTTAATTTCTAATCAGCCAATCACATGGCGGCAACTCAGTGCATTTAGGCATGTAGACATGGTCAAGACA